GTATATATATAGATATGCCAATCATGCACAAGAATATGCCATGTCGGAACCTCAGAATGAAATGCAAGTGCTCGGGTATAAATCATATCCATAACATATAGTCTGGCAGCCGGAGTCACCTAACGTGACCTGTACGGCTGCATCTAGAGCTCAAATCTCAATATCAATAACTAAACCTGCCCACGAGTCGGAACCACCTAAAGTGGTCTGTACGACAGGACTGTGTGTAATACATATAAACGCTCTAGTGCTACGATCACGTGAAGGTTGTGCGAATAATCGCGGGTCACCTACGAGTCGAAACCACCTAATGTGGTCTGTACGACAGGACTGTGCACCTAACTTGGATCCAAGCAGAGCGTGTGGTGCGGGAGGTGAACATCACGTGAAGGACTGTGCCCTACTCTGGACGGGAACACTAACACCGGGGGTGCAGGTTATGAGCTCTCTAAGCATCTCGAATCACTACTGAATGTAAACATAAATAACACTTACCTGGCACTTACCTGTGCGTCCACAGCACCCAATATGTATAAGTATATATATACAACTAACAATGTAACTAACAATGCATAAATAACGATAATCTAATGCATGGCATATGGCAAATGACGATTCAAATCAATTTCTGGGAAAATATAAGTATATAGGTATATATGAAAAACCAAAAGCCCACTTACTGGTATGTGGAAGGGTCGTAACCCCCCTGCCTTGAGTGACCACGCTCGTCCTCGGGATACGTCTCACTTATATGCGAAATAACTATAAAAACGTTAATTTTAAAGTACATAACCAACCTGTAAAAATAACTTCTCATACATTGCTCAAATGGGGTGTATGAATACACCAACGTGATCTACTTAACCTCAGGAACATCCCCATATTTTTAAAATAATTTTTCACCGTCGCACGCGCCCCCACGCGCCGGCCAAGGCACGGCCACACGCGCTGGCCACGTGCAGGCACGTGCCTGGCACGCTGACGGCGTCAACTGACGCCGTAGGGAATATTCCGTCAGTTTTAACAGATTCTGTCAACGGCGTCAGGAATATTCCGTCAGACTTGACGGAATATTCCGTCATCTTCTCTGGCAAGCCTCCGGCGCCGACGTCGGCGCCGGAAAATCGCGAAAACTTTAAACTTCGATATCTTCTTCGTTTTTCAGCCAAATTTCACAAAATTGGTACCAAAATGAAGCTTAGAACTAGAGGAACACAATCCACTTTCAAGGGTTAAAAACCACGAAATCTCACCTGAAAATTCAACCCAACTCCGGCCAACTTCGAAACTAGTGTTCCCGACGTCCAAAACCATCAAACGAACCACCCCGAGCCTCCTAGGGACCTCACCAAGCTACCTACAAGCTTGAAATTCCCTAAAACGTGAGAAATCACGTGTGCATGAACAGTACTCGAAATCGGACATTGTGGATTCGACGTGAAAACGATGGTGTTCTTACCTGGAAATGGTATGGTTGGACTCCTACAAGCCTCACGAACTCGAATATGGTCTTGGTTTCCTCGATCTGTGGAAGTTTAATGGGTTTTGGGTGTGTGTCCGTACGTATATGGTGAATGGGATGGGGAAAAGGGACTCGAGACAGGCGCATGGAAAGGGGGAAACAGTGAGGGTGAGTGTGGGGAGGAGTGTGTGGTGCAAAACCAGCCACACCAAGCCAAAAAGAACAACTACACAACAAAAATCACGCTAGGGGTAAAACTATCTTTTCACGTGTACGTTTCGATATTCCCGGGACGGGCTGTCACAGTAAGATTATCGGTGAGATCTTTCCTTTAAATGTTGAAATTATTGGTACATTTTGGTATTTCTTGAATTTGCACTTATCCATAGAATATTTAATAAAAGATTGGAATAGGCGTTGGGTAAATTATACATGAAGCTTTTTAGTTAAGCGCCGCAAATTATGTTACTTATTAAGTTTTTCCTTTATTAAATTAGTTCTAATCTTTCGTTTTGTGGAGAGCATTTGTGTTATTGAGGAGGGTAATTTACTACGAATCTGTAATAGTACTAAAGGCAATGGAAAGGCTTATACCATGTCATATCTATTTAACGTAAGTGCCTTGATTAATTCTTTGTTGTCTTGCTTAAATGTGAGTTATGCCCTATCTACGGTTACTATGATTTGGTGCCTATCTACGGTTACTATGAATTATCTCCTCCCTTGATTTGTCTTTCTTCCGAGTACTTTTACATTATTCACTTCTATACTAAAAGAAATAATCGAGTTATTCACTCGATCCAAGTATTACAAGTACACGCTTGCAATGATTATAGGTTGTTGTATCTTGTAGAGTAGGACGTCATAACTTGCTACACCGAGAAATTATCTTGGAGGGGTGAAATCTACTCTTAAGAGCACTTCCACTGTGTGCTCTAGCTTGAGGGACAGGCGCAAAAACAGGGCCAAAGAGCACAAGTGATGAAGTCCAGCGTGTGCTGGCGAGCAAGCCCGAGCACGCTCGAGCGAGAGGCTAGGCAGGAATCGACAGCTCGAGAGCCTGAGGGTTGTGTGACGTGTGGGTGATGTGCGGCATCGGTGCATGCGCCGACCTTGACATCTCCCGTCCTCCTTCCCCTCATTTGACCTGAATCTACACACCCAAACCCTCAATTCGAAGGAAAACATCAACTATGCAGAATCAATTTCAAAAAATTAAATTAAACTAAAATTTTCAATAAAATTGCGGTTCTAAAAACACCGCATATAGGATCAAATTCGATCGGCAGCAAATAAATCAAACGAGAAATTTAAAAAAAAAAAACATCATGAAAGCAGAGAAGAGGAGAGGAAGACGAAGATTGGGGAAGAAGGAGAAACCGAGGAGGGAGGGAATGAAAGCAGAGAAGAGGAGAGATGATGATGGTGGAATGAGGGGAAAACGTAAATGAGGGGAATAAGGGAAAGAGAGATAGAAAGAAAAGAGAGAGGAAGAAGAACCGGTCAAACAAAAAAAAAAGGGAAAGGGTGATGGGGATGTTTGATGGATTGGATGAGAAAAAAAAATTAATATTTTATTATTCATTGCCAGAGCTATTCAAGTGCAACGGTGGAGATGCAAAAGGCGATTACTGTTCATTAAGGGCAGTTACTGTTCACTTGGTGGATTAAATAGTGTATTGCATGGGGGAAGGGTTCCCACGCTGGAACTGCTTTAAGAACAATGAACCTACACGTCTCAACATAAAATCTTGTTCTAATCAAGTAACGATGAACAATGATTTCCATCCTATAAAAGATAGGGAGTTTTAATGAAACACTTCCGGTACTGTTCACTTTTAACGAAAATGACATTTTTACTCTAAAAAATCACTTCTGATACTATTCATTTAAAATACATTTTTGTCATTTTGATTAAAACTTTTTAACTATTTTCATTAGTTTTTTTTTTTAAAAGATAAGTATTTATCTTGTATTCATTTATTTTATCTAATTAATTGTGGCACCGTAAAGTACTTCTAATATTTATCTTATGTAATTTGTTGTAAGAGAAATAGCATCCACATCACCAATATTTCTTAACACTCTAGTCTTTGGAGAACTCGACATAGCTATTTGGATTTTTACTTCGATATAAGGTGATTTCTATCAGTTACTCTAATGATAGTTTACTTTTTAATTATGAATATGTGTTACTAAATTTATTTATTTATTTTTTATCAATATGTGTTACTAATTTTTTTTTTTTGCTAGGGCATTGCTATGAGTCTTAGCAAGAATATGTAGTTTTTATCAAATTACTTATGATGTTATACAGACATACATTGAATTATTAATCATTATGTTTAAACTATTTGTATGTCTTGATAATTTACCACCATTAGGATGTTTATACAAGTAATTGTGTGCAATTTCTGTTGGAGTGCCATCTTGAAATTGAGTAAGACTTCTTATGATTATTAATTGTAATTTCACTCAAGGTGAATGCCACCACGTCTTAAAGATTCTCGAATTTTTCAAAATGTTTCACAAAACTTAAGAAGTCTTGCATATTTAGATTGATCTGAGTATCACAGACAAATCATATGTTAGATATGGTTGCTAATGGCGATGACTAAACCTTAATGCCTTTACCCTTGTTTTTCTAAACCCATGTGTTATTTTTACCTTGTGTGATTCCTATTTTTGCCAATTTAGTTAATTTTACTTTCTTGCATTTATTTTATTTGAATTCGTGATCTCAATTTTTCATATTTTGTTTTGAATGTTTAACTAAGTCTTAGTTTTAATTATAAGTTACTCATATCAATTTTTCTAAAGAATAAGCTGTTTATACTATGATTACTTTGTTTTTATTTTCATATTTTCTAATTATTTACTTTTACTAGTGAACATCATTGAACAATGAACCGTATAAATCCTCTGACGTGGACTGCACGTGGGTAGGTATGTAAGGTGAGGGGCGACTCCTCCCGCCACGGCGTGAAATCCTGGATATGGCAGGTGCAGTCTGTCTGTCTGCAGTAGTGATCGACATTGGAAGGGAACAGCTTCTTCAGAGTAAAATATTCAGTGGAGAGTGGAGAGAGAAAAGGATATTCTATTCTATGTCACCGCCTGCCAGCTTTGAAACGTTTGTTTATGATCCATCAATTAATATTATTTTATTTTTTTAACGGGTGAAAAGTCACAACGCAATGAAATCAGCCAGCTTAACTTTATACGAACGAACGAACGAACGAACGCAGAAGCAAGACCAAGAGGAGAGAGAAAGGAAACTAGACTAATTTTAATATTAAAAATACCTGTACCTGGAGAGGAGGAGGAGGAGGAGGGAGGAGGGAGGAGGGAGGAGGAGGAGGGGTTGTTATAATAATCTTCATAATCTTATCCTTGCTGAGGGTCAGGGTTTTGCACATCATCAGATTCATCATCACACTCCTCCGTTAGCCATCTATTCCTTTCCGCTCTCCACGGAAGAAGAAAGTCAATTCCAGACTCCAATTCCAATTCGCTGAGTCGTCTTCTTCTCCTTTGACGAAGAGGAGGAAAAAGGAGGACTTCTTTATGGGCGTCGCTCAGATTTAAATCCTGCGGTTGGGACATGGAATCATCAACGCCTGATCATGCCGATCATCATGCTGCTAACAACAACAACAAGAAGCCTCGTAATAATCCAAATTTGATTACGACAAGCGATCACCTGCGGCATGTGGAGTCGATGGCCACAATGCCTTCCGGCGCCGGAAACATTTCCCACCTGAACGCTGTCATTCTCGGAGAATCTCTCGCTTCTGAAGAGAACGATCTCGTCTTTCCCAGCGACCACTTCTCCCGTCAGGCCCACGTCTCCTCTCCCCAACAGGTACGGTACCTTGGCTATCTTCCTTCCATTTATTAATTCTTCTCTCAGTTCTCTGCGCTTTGCACTTCCACTTCCAACAACATCATCTAACCTCTTAATCCTATCTTATTACCCTCTTCCTCCCCCTTCAGTATCTGGAGATGTACAAACGGTCCATCGAGGATCCCGCCGGATTTTGGTCCGACATCGCTGCCACCTTCTTTTGGAAACAGAAATGGGGCCAACCTGTGTACTCGGAGAATCTTGATGTCAGGAAAGGCGATATCCGAATTGAGGTCTTTCTTTTGATTCCTTTTTTCTGATTCGATTCGATTTGCTTGCCTTGCCTTTTTTCGAGTTTAGAAAGTTTTGATTTGAGCAGTGGTTCAAGGGCGGTATCACCAACATTTGCTACAATTGCCTTGACACAAATGTTGAAGCTGGACTTGGTGACAAAATTGCCTTCTACTGGGAAGGCAGTGAGCTTGGTGTTGATGCCACATTAACTTACACCCAGCTTCTCAAGAACGTTTGCCAGGTCGGTCCGTCTATCAATCTGCCTGGGAATCCGAGTTGCTTCATAAAAATAATAAGTAAAGTATCTTAACTTTTCTTACCTCTACCATTCATTCACAGCTTGCGAACTATTTGAAAGATGTTGGAGTTAAAAAGGGTGATACTGTTGTGGTTTACCTGCCCATGTTAATGGAACTTCCAATTACAATGCTTGCTTGTGCTCGCATTGGTGCCGTTCACTCGGTATTGCACCATCTTTCTCTTTGCTTTCCAGCATCCTCCAATGATATTTTTTTTCATAATTATTTGCCTTTTACAATCTTTCAGGTTGTCTTTGCCGGATTTTCTGCAGAATCTCTTGCTCAAAGGATTGTAGATTGCAAACCGAAAGTTGTAATCACTTGCAATGCTGTTAAAAGAGGTTCTAAGGTTATCCACCTCAAAGATATAGTTGATGCTGCCCTTATAGAATCATCCCAAAGTGGGGTTTCTGTAGGTATGGAAATTAGCAAATTGATATGTGATCTATGGAATGACCTATTTGTGTGTGTGGGTATGGCGAGGCAGTGCACAGTTTTTATGTAAAAGTTCTCTGTATCATGACATATGGTGCCCTGTTTGAGCAGATGTATGCTTAACTTATGAAAATCAATCGGCTATGAAGAGGGAAAGTACTAAATGGCTTGAAGGAAGGGATGTATGGTGGCAGGTTAGCACTTGTACTAACACCTCTTGATATAGACTTCCATGAGGAAAGAATTCTTTTGTTTGTAACATGCATGCTGCATTGTGTGCTCTTCCTATATTATTGTTTCATCATATGCTTATAATTGACCTGAATGTTTGTCGTACGGACGGTTGTGACTGATGAGTGATGACCCATGATTATCTCCCAGGATGTCATACCTAAATATCCAACTACTTGTGCAGTGGAGTGGGTTGATGCAGAAGATCCACTTTTTCTGCTCTATACCAGTGGGAGCACTGGTAAACCGAAGGTAATATATGTTCCATACTTCAAATAATTTTTTTCTTCTCCTTGTGTATTTCTCTAATAATAAGCTCTTATAGGGAGTTCTCCACACAACTGGAGGATATATGGTGTACGCTGCCACAACATTTAAGTACGCATTTGATTACAACTCATCTGACATCTACTGGTATCCTTCAAAACCCTAAGCTTATCATTAACGTTATTTTGATTTTCCTCATGTGAAAGAAACTTGCTTTGTTCTGATGTTTTTTGTTGCTGAACATGGCTTTATCTTTAATTTAGGTGTACAGCTGACTGTGGTTGGATCACCGGGCACAGCTATGTCACTTATGGACCCCTGCTTAATGGAGCAACTGCTGTTTTATATGAAGGGGTAACTAATAGACAGATTAATGTATACATATTATCGTTTTACATGTAGCTGTAAGAGAGGAACCTAATATACATGTCTAAAGAAAAACATTCATGCACACATATGGATCAGCCGACATCTCTAGTCAGGCACTTGGAAGTTTTCGGAAAAAAAGAAAAAGAGTATACCAAGAAGAAGCTGGACGGCTAGGTCTAAAGATTCATTTTTTTTTTCTTTTAACTTTTTATTTTTGTACCAGTGTTGTACTCTCCTCTTAGCGGAAGGTCTTTAATTGGACATATACTATTGTTTAAAGGGTGGATAGGTTCTTATGGTAAAAAGGGTAACCCCTCTGGTGTAAACTAACCATTGGACTCAGAGTAACTTAATAATGCCTTTATTTCCTCAAGAAGGCAAAATAACAAACAGTAGTTGACTAGATATGAATATGACATCTAATTAAAATTTGTACGTGTTTACTTATGGTGAGAAGAATCACGTATCACTGTCTATGATCTATATAAAATTTTAAAATCTTTAAACATTATACTATAAATGAAATGAACTCTTCTAGTGCTAAATACATAATTATATTTAGAACACTGACTAGCTGTATCTGAATATGTGGATAGAGGATCTCATGTGTAAAGAGCGCTACAGTGAGGTTGATTATGGTGTATTTTTTGGTGCACATGCTTCCTCTAATTTTTGCTGAATTGGATTTCCTATGTTGACATTTCATGTGGCTGTTACTATCCATGTATATGTTGCAGGCTCCAAATTATCCTGATCCTGGACGCTGTTGGGATGTTGTTGATAAATACAAGGTGACCATATTTTATACTGCCCCCACATTAGTGCGGTCCCTTATGCGTGATAGTGACGAGGTAAGATATTAGCCATTCCGTTGTTATAAATGGATGTGATTATTTTAATGTGTTTGTTATTGATCCAAATGATTTTATAAGTTTATGATGGCTGTTAGCAGCTATGTACAAAAAATGCTTTTCTCTATTTTGTTTCTTGGTTAATCATTTCCCAAACCTTTTTTTTTTCCTTAAATCTAATGGATTTTTTCATTAACTGGACATGATTTTGTTGAAGTATAAAGCTTGTCTGTGTTTTTAGGCTATAATATCCTCTTGTCATTTGTCCCTGTTTAATTTTTGTTCTTTTGTTCCATCAAAGATGCTCCCTTGTCATACATATCTGGTTTTCTTGGGTGTCCCATCTCTCGATGTATCTTATTAAATTACCATCAAGAAATCAGTCCTCTTTATAATCTCCGTCATTTACTATCTGGATTGCAAGATTTGCCATTCTACATAGTGTTCTGTTTCTGTATCCATGGTGGTTTTGTTGTCTGGATAAGGCTAAGATTCCAGTACCCCTTACATAATGCCTTAAGTATTTATGGATGTGTGTGTTCTTTGAATTTTATTTATTTATGTATTATGCAGTATGTTACACGATACTCGCGAAAATCGTTACGGGTCCTTGGAAGTGTAGGCGAGCCTATTAACCCAAGTGCATGGAGGTTCTCATCTCTTTTGTTGTCTGATTCAAAAGCTTCACTTCACACCCAAAAAGAGTTATTAACCCAACGCTGTTTGGTACAGGTGGTTTTTCAATGTGGTTGGAGATTCAAAATGTCCTATTTCTGACACTTGGTGGCAAACTGAAACTGGTGGCTTCATGGTATTGTAGTACTGTTCTTATATAGTTTTTATCCCTTGCACCATTGACTGGTGTTAAGCAGAAATGTTAGTGGCACGGGAAAATTCCTCAAGATCTTACTTCGTTAAAGTTGTTGAA